AGCCCTGCCAGGCATGGAGGTCCTGGCAGTGTCCAAGTGCCCTGACCCTGCTCTGGTGTGTTTGGGGCAGGTTCCTTGGGTCCTGTGCTGCTTTCAGCTGGGACAGAGTGAATTTCCTTCTCAGTGGCTGCTCTGGGGCTGTGTTTGGGTTTGTGCTGGCACAGGGCTGGTAACTCAGAGGTGTTTTTGTTCTTGCTGAGCTCACTCAGAGCCAAGTGAGTGGCCTCGTCTGGCCATGCTGGGGAGGGGCTGGGGGTGCCTGGGACTGAGCCCAGCTGACCCCAGGGATGTTCCAGACCACAGGACATCACACTCAGGATATAAATGGGGCCGAAGAAGGAATTGGGGGACATTTGGACTGAGGAGCAGCGTAAGCCATGACAAGAGCTCCAGCACCCAAAACACTTGCACACCCAGGCCGTGGCAGCCTGGGCTGTATGGCAGGCTATGATTTGTTGTCACCTTTACAAACACAACAACAAAATCACTAGTCTTCCACACAGAGCCAGGCCAGGAGAGCAGCGCTTCCTCCTCAGGGATGTCCTCCTGCACGTCTTCTCCCAGCATCCTTCCTCAGTTCTTCTCATCCTGTAATCCTTGTTCCTGTCTCTCCTTCAGGGATGGATGCTGCCCTTTGCAGCGTTCCTCCTGAGACCACATCAAATCTCCCTGTAATCATCTCTCCAATTTGTGCTGTTCCCGTGAGTTTCTGCTCCATTTTCTCACTCCGGAGACTCTACAGGAACATCAGGGCTCAGCAGGGGCTCCTCTTGCCTTACCCTGTGATAAACTTCTCCAGGAGAGCTCTGCCAAGCTGTCTGTCTCCCAGTTGTGTACGAGTCTGACTACAATAAGCAAATGCAATATATGCTGGGGAACATGGGAGAGAAGGACTCTGCAAAGAGAAAGATAATGATAGTGCCGAGTTTCCTGGAATCCCGCTGAGAGGCTGATTTAAGCAAGGAAAACAAACCCTTTTTGCTGCTCCCTTTTTCTGGATTTGTTGATGAGCAATCTTTGGTTCAGGTCCAGCTTTTCTTTCACTGCCCAGGTTTTCTCTGTTAATCCCTCACATGGATGAGATGTGGAAGGACGGTGCTGGCTCACGCCCATGGAAAGGATCTGACTTTATTCCTTGTCCAGCAGAGCTTTACTCACCTCAGCCACTGAAATCAGGCAGGGGACAGCCTCTTCCCATCTTCACCCAACTGTTATGGGTGGGGGAAAAAGAGAAGGAGATAAAGCCATTCCTCAGCAGCCTCGGCTGCTCCTTCCACGGGAGGATGAAGAGAGTGCAGCAGCAGGAGAGGGTTTGGGTTTGCAGGGGCTGTGCCCTGTGGGAGCTCGTGGGGAGCGGTCCCATCCTATCCCTCCCTCCCTCTCCTTTTTTATAACACATGTGCTTTTATGGACACTTTATTCTATCTCCAGATGGGTGTTTCAGTCTGGGGACTTGTGCTGCTCCGAGATAACAGCCCTTTGTGCTGGCCTAGGTAGCAGAGGTGTTGGTGATAGCTGGGGCTGATAGCAGGAGATGTCCAGGTGGTCTTATTTAACAGGGAGCATTAGTGATACTGCCATTGTCCAGGAAATCAGATAAAAACGGGTCCAGGTGTTACCCAACACCGTGTTTGTGTAAGGACAGAGCCAACTGCTGGGGGGGATGTGTTCTTGTATAAAACTGCTGTCACCCCAAACCTCCCAGGTAAAATTTAACCAGGAGCTGGACTGGGATGATCCTTGTGAGTCCCTTACAAGGCAGGGTATTCTGTGATTCTAATCTGAATATCAAGTGGAACGGTAGTGAGTTTGCAGTGAAAACATCTGGGGAGTGAGACAATATTTGGAAATAAAAATTCAGGACATTTCAGTCTTCAGCCCAAGATAACTGGAAGAGAGGATGAATTGTAAAGAAGAATGAATTTGAAAGAGAAGACAGCTTGGGAGGCGCTGAGCTAGACTGGAATTCCAGGTGACAAGGACACTTTTCAGTCCTCGTTCTGGCACACAGCTCCACGAAGGGATTTACCACAAATCATTGCTAGACTGGTAAAAATCAAGACAGGAGACGTGTGAGCAAGAGCTCCTCTCTTGGTTTCACACCCAGACATTCCCTGTTCAGAGCGAGGTGTTCAGCAGGAAACATAAATCGCAGCCTCGGAGGCGTGTGAGGTTTTTGTCTAGACTGTCTCTGTGGGGCCGTATTTCTCCGTGTGATATTTGTCAGGAAGGGATCTGCCACTTCAGGTTTGTCCCAGAGATTTCAGGGATGTGGCTCCTTGTGCTGGTGGCAGCTGGACCTCGCCCCTCTCCCCAGCACTGGGAGGCTCCTCAGTAATTGTTTCCATGGATGGCAGCTAAACTTAGCTGCAGAACACGGGGAAAAAGCCTGTCTGGAAAGAGTGGGGACTCTTGGCCTCCAGCTATCTCTGCCAGGCTCATCACAGAGAGATCCCCAGCTGCACTTCCAGGCTGTAAATTAAACAAACAGTATTTCCTCTACACCAGACCACAGGGAGGGCAAAGAGAACAATGTGGCCTTATTGCTGTTATTTCCTTTGGTTTCAATCTCTGTCCTCTGCCCCCCACCTCCTCCCCAACCCCATGTCTCCCACTTTACCCGATTTGTCATTTATTACCATGCTTTAAAGAGAGGCAGGGGGAAAAATGCTCAGTGCAAATTATATTTTGAGCTGTTGTGCTTTGCCTCTTTGGCGGATAATAAATCTCTCTGGCAATGCTCCTCTGTATAGGATTTGTCATTAAATGCAATTAAACAAACCCTGCAGGTGTCCATGATCAGGCCTGCAGCAGCCCATTCACAACTGCAATGTTATTATCAGCCTGACAACAAAACACCAGATATTTCCTGAGCTCCTCTGATCGATGAGCTTGCCTGATTTGGAACTGGAGGGAGGAGAGAAGGGGGACCAGAGAGGTTCAAATGCTCTTTAGACTTATTGATGGAAAAGTCAAAAAGCTGCTCAGCAATCAGAGGAAAGGTGGAGAGAGAAAAGGGCCGAGGGACAGGAGGGCTAAAAGGGAAAAATGAGAGAGGAGTGTTTGGGAGTCAAAAGGCAGAAACAAGGTGAGTTATCACACGGTGCCCTTCCACCCAGTGAGCTGGTTAATGCACAAGACTGGAATTTAAGAGGTGAGGAGGGTATTTTAGAGAGGATTCTGTGGCAGCTGGGCTTTCAATGGTGTCATGTAGCCTCCCTGCCCAACAATCCCTCTCACCCTGGGACAGGACTTGACTGGCAGGTTATCCTGTTGTCCAGGGATGTCTGTCTGTCTCCACAAACTGTAGCCAAATGGTTGGATCAGACACCCAACTAATTTCAAATCCCACCTGGAACAGTCAATGGAATCGGACAGGGCCGGGAACAGCCTGGGACAGTGGAAGGTGTCCTCACCCATGGTAGCAGTGGCACTGGACAGGTTTTGTGGTCCTTCTAGCCCAAACCATTTGGGATTCTGTGACTCTCTGAGTGTAAGTTCTTCCCTATCCTCATTCACACCAAAGCATGTCCTGGCACAGCTTTGGGAAGCTGCAGAGGTGCTGCTGACAGGACTTGTCCAAAGCAGATGCAACAACATTCACACCAGAATTGTTGTGTGCTCTGACAATCAGGAACAGGGAAAAATCTCCTGTGGTTTCTGTGAGCCATCCCAGGCAGCCTGTGGAGTGTGAAGGTCAGGGATTCACAGGGGACTGCTTGCCATCAAGTCCAGCGAGAGAGAAAAATTTGCCAGCACCAGTGGAATTCTTCTGCCTGACTCATTTGCTCAGCTCAGCCTCAGGGTTCTCTCAGGATGGACCTCTGTCCCCTCCTGTTCTCACCCCAGCAATCCTGGTTCAGCCCAGTTGATTCTGGGGCACACATGGAATTGCAGTGATAAGGGACAAAGCCCACATTACTGCTCTAGTGCCACCTAAAACAATGGAGTTTTGAACAAGGGGAGTCAAGGGCATCAGTAATGCCTGTGTAGAGTGGAAGGGGTGATTATTTACTCCTACAATAAAAAGCTTTTGCAGGAGTCTTTGAGGTTTTAGAGCCTCATCTGTAGGGCAAATAGCCTGGGACCCTGTTTGCTGCCATCAGAGGTCACACTGGGATTGGGACAGAAGGAGCCAGGAACTCTGTGATCAAGCCATGGGTCTCAGAATAAACATTTTCCTGGAGCCTGCACCCAGATCACTCTGCAGCACTGGTCTCTGGCTCTCCGAGCCTTGTAAAAATCCATTAATAAAGTTTATGAATAAGTGTATTTTGCATGGTCTCTCCTACAGACCGTGGGGACATCTGGGGTGACACCGGGTCAGAACAGCCGGGAGCCATGGACGTGGGCAAGCCCAGCATCTTTACCGGAACAGGCACTGCCCCTCTCCGGTCCCTTCCATGTCCCTCTGCTCCTGCCTGGATTCTGCGCTCGGCCCCGGCTGCCAGAGCCCACAGACGCCTGTGACTCCGGGGCTGGCACACAGGGACCGGCTCTCTCCGGGGACAGAGGGACAAGAGCCGGCGTGTCCCGAGGAGCGGGGGACTGCTAATGAGGGTCCCTGGGACGGGGTTACTAATGAGGGTCCCTGGGACGGGGTTACTAATGAGGGTCCCTGGGACGGGGTGCAGCGGTGTCCGTGCCCCGGAGCTGCCGCGAGTCCTCCCGGAGCTGCGGATTTCCAGCACGGGAGCGGCGGGGCCGGGCCGGGCCGGTGGGGAAACCCCCGGAGCTTCCATCAGTGGCTGCGAGAGCGGGGAGAGAGCAAATCTAGGGCAGGATGGAAATGCACAACCCATTGGATCGACTTCAACAAACCAACAAATACTTTTTCCCCCCGTTCTTTCCACTTCTCTTCCTCCCCACCTCCAGCAGTTCCTCTCCGCGCTGCTCATCTCCCTTTGTGCACCTCTTACCCGCACTCTCCTCTCTAAACAGGTGCAGTTGCCACTCAATAGACTTTAATTACCACTTCAAGGGCTCTCACCGGGGTCTGCGGGAGGGTGGAGATGAATTTTCCCGAGGATTATGCGTGCGGCTGAGTTCTCTTCAGTCAGATGCTGATATTGCTGCCAGCCAGGATCCTTCGAGAGATCGGTTCTTCGGTTCTCTCTGTTCGTGTTAACAAAAAGGAAAACTGCTGCTGAAGGGAAAAAAACAACCCAGCCATTACCTGGATTAATTAGCAGGACAGCAAATGGGTCTGGAGAAAAACACTACAGAAAATTTACAGCCCAGGAGTCTCAGCTGGGCTTCCAGACTATTATTCCTTGCAAATCAAAAGTGGAGAGCTCAGCATCTCGGAAGATTTCTGTGGGAGACTGGGCTCTAAAAATACAAGTTGTTTTTAACCACTTTACCTTTTTTTTGCTCCGTGCTCTTCCCATCACGGCTCGCTGGAGAGATGTGCTGTTAATGCATCCTGCTGGGACCCTGGGGATTCCTCCCAGGGAACGTGTGGGTTCATTCCCGGCTTCAGCACAGTTTGCCTGTGACAGAGGAATTATTCCCAGTGTTTAACTAGTAACATAACATTATTTTTATTATTAAGATCCTCTTCAAAAGGCACTCCTGGAGAATGCAGAGCAGCTTTATGCCTGTCAGAGCTGCCTGGAATTGTTTGCCCAGGATGTGAGTGCACACTTGTGGGGGTGCACACAGAAATTTGTATATGTGCTCCTGTGTGCTGATACGTGCAGGGAGGAGCTGAGAATACAACAGGATCTTTTGGGACAAGGGAGATTTCCGAACACTTAAAAAATAATTTCTTTCCCTCAACATTAACATTTCTAATTTTTTATATAAAATGAAATCTAGGAAGAAGATTTTTATAGCAAATTAAGCAACATTTTGTTCTGCTGCAATTAAGTTTGTTTTCCTAAACAAGAAAATCAGCAAACTGGGGAAATACTGCAGCCAAATGTGCTTTTGCAGATGTGATTTCCATGAAACATTTTGCCTAGCTCCAAAGCAGCTGGGCATGTGCAACATCTGAACTCCTGCTTGGCTCCTGCCCTGGTCTGGTTGTGGCAGCAGAGTCCGTGCGGGCTCTGCTCTCCCAATCCAGCCGGGAGAGCTGGGGCTGAGCTCATCCCCTGAACCAGCCTCTGCCCCTGGGCTGGGGCTCCTCTCACCCCCACTGCGATACTGCGTTATCCCAAGCAATAAACTCCTGCTGAGGCTCCCACTGCACCCTGTCTTGCACTGTGCAATGCTCTGGAGGAAGAGCAGAGGGAGCACAGCCCGTGTCAGCCCTGAGGCATCACCTCGCTCCCTGGGAATGTTCCGCTCCTCTTTCCTCACGCTTGGGATGGAGCTGTGCCCTCATAAGTGAGGAGGTGGAAGACACAGGGCCTGAGATGGGAAAAGGAAAAGTCACAGGTTCCCGCTCACATTTCTCAGGTTGTCTCCTTCTCATGTAACTCGTTCTTTCAGCTTCTAGGATTTAAAATCCTTCTGCCTTCATCATCTCTTCCTCCCAGCCTTCCTTTCCTTATGCATTTTGATTTCCAGGTCCATCTACCACAAGTTTTCCTGCCATTTCTGCAGGGCTGGGATGAACATTGATCACAGCCATCTCAAGCCCATCTCTCCTTTTTCCCAAAGAGCCGATGAAAATGTCACCCATGAGATAATCATCATGTTGCTTACATCCCTTAATTGCTCTCAAAGTACATGTCGGGGCTTCAGAGCCTCTGTGAAAGGCAGGTTCTGGCCTTTGGCACATTATTGACAGGCTGTTGATAGGCCCCTTTGTTGAGAGGCAATTTTGTCCTTTTTCCTGTACAATTTTTTGGTTTTTTTAAAGACAACCCTTTCAGAGAGAGTAGATTTTTAAAATAGAGCTGAGCTTTGAATGAACAGGCATCAGAGTTATTCCTGAGGAGCAGTGGCACACGTGGGAGAGCTACCAGCACACTTTGTGCAGGACTCTGTACAGGAAATCAAACTCAGATGACAAATGGCTTCATGCTTGTTGCTTTTTAGTCCTTCCCCTCTCAGACCTGATAATTAGATGTTTATTTGCACTGAATTACTAAAGCATTGGACGTCTTGTGTGTTCTAGTTAATTGTTCCACAGTAAACAGGAGAAAGTTGACACTTCAGCTGTGCAGTGACTCATTTGTATCTATTAATGATAATTCTTAGGGGTTTTTAATACCTGCTGATAAAAGTGGACTCAGATGTCCTCATCACAACCGTCCCTCCTGGTCCCAAAAGTTTTGCAGGTCTGGGGCAGGAGCAGAGCAGAAGCAGGCACGCAGACAGAGCCTCCATCAGCAGTGCGGGGCCTTGGCTCACGCCTGAGCAATTCCCACCTCAGCTGCCGATTCCCAGAGGACACACAAAGGCTTTAAAGTCACCTCTTTAACAGAGATTTATTTTAATGTGCCCTGATGTGGGCCAGGGTCCCTCTCAAGGTAACCTCACCACAGCCCCTGGCACAGCCGAGCTCCACGCTCCAACACAACCCTGAGCAAAATACCCAGGCTCTTTGCAACTCAACCCCAACCCTGAGAGAAATGAAATTCTTTCCTTTCTGAAACAATGTCCCTTGGAATGATTTTGCCCCTAATGAGCCCCGACTGGGCTGCTGTGTTCTGGAGCCACTGGTGTGCATGTTAACAAGGAGGTGTCTCCGTGTGGAAGTGTGGAGATGGCTGGCCCTGTAATGGGAGTCTGTTCAGCATCCTAAATCCCGCATTAGGCTGTGCCTGTAGGAACCCTGGGATGCTCCATGGAGACTGCCTGGAGGCAATCATCCCTCCCAGCCTCCTGGCTGTCCTTAACCCAGTGCTCAGCTTGCAGCTATTCCAGGAACCGCTGCAGACATGATAAAGTTCAGCCCCTAATGCATTCACCAGCAATAAGGTGGGGAAAGTGCCCATTGATTTGGGATGAAAAGGGAAAAGGCAAAGGGCTGTGGTATTCAGAGAAACTTCCATCTCACTGGGATTTGGGTCTTGAACCCTGTGAGGGACTGGGAGCCCTGGAATTTCATTGTTTTCCCTGAGTGGGTTCAAATCATGAGCAATACTCAGAAAACATCATCTGCCTTAAATTTATCTTCCAGTCCTGCTTGATTCAAATGATGCATCCCAAATGATTCCTGTCCCAGAAATCAATTTCATACTTCACATCCACTTAAATACACATTGTACAACAGGTATAGATATACACACACACATTTAGATTCGTGTGTTACATGGAATGGTTCCATTCTTTAAAAATTCCGGAAAAGGAGTTCTTCCAAACCCGTTCCCTCATTGACAGACCAGCAGAAAGATACAGCACTTCTCTTCCAGAAAAATATACCAGCTCATTTATTTTTGAAAGTTGTGAACTCATTAGCTGGCAATTAATGTTCTACCCACCTGTGCAGCCCCTCGTAAAGTCACGTAAAGCCTGCCCAGAGCTCCAAGCCCACCTTCGTCAGCACAGGGTGAGAACTGCTGAGATAAAATGTTGTCTGAATTAGATGGGGAGGATTAGAAAGGTGATAAAAGCTAAGCCAGGAGAAAATCACACGATAAATAGGTCTGGCAAGATAGATGGATAATCTTCCTCCCAGGCCAAACCTGACAGGATAATCACCTTTTTCTGTTCTCTGGTTCCATTTGCTCTCAGATCACCAGAGCTTTACAGATATCACAGAATTTGGTTTTCTGGTACCCTGGAAATGCGGATCACGAGGTCTGTCTTTATGGACAAGGGATCTGAGGTGCCTCACTTAGGAATGACTTTAAATTTCAGATTAGGATTGCAAAAATCAGCCAAACCATTGCCTTTTCTTGTTTCTCATTGGTGAAACCAGAGCTGCAGCTCTTTTCCCAGCTCACCTTTTCCCAGCTGAGCCAGAGTGGGAGTCAGTCCTGTCCTGTCCCGAGGGTGTCCCTGTCCCTGCCACCAGCAGCTGTCACCAGAGCCAGGTCCTGTGCAAGGGCACAGCTCTGCTGCTGCTCCCTGATCCCAGTGGGGTCTGGATTCAGCCTGGCCATGGGATCAGGGGAACTGTCCTCCTGTCCCCTCTGTCCCCCCCTCTGCTTTCAGGGTACAGATTATCTCCCATAACATAAACAACCCTCTGGAGCAACTGACAACTCTTTAAACACTGCGAGCTCTTTCCCAGCTGTGAAAGGGTTTGTCTGAACCGGCCTTTGCTCTCCTCGCTCCTGAGAAATTCCCACTGCTCCTGATTCATGCAAGGTCCGAGCCTGCAAAGTGCCCTTTGCTGGAGCCTTTGCTCTCCAGATGGGGCCTCCTCATCTGAGGGGAGGAACTCGGGAAAGTTTTCCATCTCTTTGTGGCATTGATTTCTCCACGATCATTCGACTGGCAGCACGGAGCAGCGGAATATTTGATTAGGCAGAATTACAGACCACAACATCAATAATTTTGTGAGCTGAACTGAAAAGATTTGCTCCTATTCTCACTGGGAATGGTGCAATTTTCTCCTTTCTAAGAGAAACTTTGCTCTAATGGCAGGGTGCATTGTCATCCCACAGGAGCAGGTACCGACTGTTGCCTCTGATTTTGGGGGGCTTGAATCCATGCAATTTTCACCTGGGCTGGAATCTGGTAGGTGGACTGTTCATCATGGCTCTGGATTTTCAAAAGAAGTTAGCAATTTTGGACACCTTATATTTGTGTTTGAGACACTCTGAAAGGGACCAATTACAAGAGGCAGGTGCTTAGAAGTCCCTGAAAATCAGGATTAATTGGAATATGTCATGCTGGGCACCTGAAAACTAAAATGCTTTGGAAAATCACAGGGGAGGGAGTTGTGTTTCTGAACATGACTTGGGAAGAATGTACAGCCTTAAGTTAACACAGGATAAAGAGAAGATCTTTGCACAAAATTATGGAAACTTCCTTTAATCCTCAGTGCAGGCAAGTGCTTGACTTTAGTTTGATCCCTGAGGGAGCTCAGTGCTGAAGTTTGTGCAAGTGCATTTGTATTCTCATGAAGTGGGGCCTGATATTGTGCAAGTTACTGTAGGTTTATGAAAAATTCTGAGTCTCCAAATTAAAATAAATCAAAAGGCAAAGTTGTCTCCTCAAGGACACACAGCGTTTGCTGGCTTGCTGCCATGTCCATGTGCTCACCTGCAGAGCCACAGGCTGTGCCATGAAAGATCTTTTCTTTGCCTTTCCTAAACCCCTGAGCCAGAGTCCCAGAGGCAGAATCTTGAAGTGCTGAACACACACAGACCAGAATTTCCATGTCCCAAGGAGCTTTAAGGTCCCTTTCAACCAAACCATTCTGTGATTCTATGATTTGGATGAGCAGAAAAACCAAATCCTTTGCTCAGAGTTCCGTGAGATGTCCCTGTGTCCCTGAAGCGTGGGCTGCAGGCTGCAGGCTGGGGCAGGGGCTGTGTCCCCACTGTGTGGGACACTGTGCAGGGCTGGGCTGGGGCAGGAGCAGCGTTTGAGAGAGGCTGAAGGTGAACCCGGCTCAGGTGTCTGGGGCAGAACAAATCCCTGCCACAGGCACAACAACCTCGCCCTGTTTATCCAGGCTCAAACGCTGTCGCACATCTTGCGTCTGAAATCCACTCTCTTTTTCCTGCCGAGATTCCCAAGCACCTCCCAGTCTCCCAGCTACTACCAGATGCCACGATTGCAGTGGAGTGGCAGCGACACACAGACAAATATTTGTGCAAGGCACACAGAGCCAGGAGCCTGGAACATTGTCTGCGTGGTGGGAGGGGGAGAGGGCAAGGAAGATCCTGCCTTTAACAGGCTTTATTTCTACTGAATTTTAAATAAAAAAAATCTGGATGCCTGTATGGTGTTTATTTCTAGCAAAACTTCAAATATTTCTTTCCAGCAGGTGACTCCTGCTAGGCTGATTTCCAGATTTCTCATTTTGAAGAATACTTAAAGGGTCAGGAATTAAATTGAATTAAATCCAGACCTTACCCCGAGTCCTCTGCTCTTCAGAGACCTCTGGGTTGGATCCATCTATGAGATCTACAGAAAATTGCCAGTAAAAAAAAAGTGACAAAATATGCCCTGAACAAATGGAAATGAAACTTTGGTTAAGCAAGACTGCACAATAAAAAATTTAGTTAGCTTTGAGGATGTGATATCATCTGTCCTACTATTTTTTATATTAAATATAAAATCTGATTAGGCCATTTCCCAGAATGCAGAGATAAACCCATAAAAGCAGCAATAGGTATTTGGTGCAATATAATTTTCTGCCTTCTTCTGCATGGGGCAGGATATGAAGGATCCAGGATTTTTCCCTTATTTTCCAGCTGAACTTCATGGGGAAAAGCCTGACATTGGTGCTGGCAGAGACAAGGCACTGCCCAGAGTGAACCTCAGCAGTTGTTGCATCCAGGACAGATCAGAGTCACTGTGTGCACAGAACTGATGGGAGATGTTAAAAGATTTACAGAGAGATAACAAAGATATCTCTGCACTCCAGTTCCATAGGGAAACATTTCCACCCTTACTTGGTTCACTGTCTAGAAAATATGTCTAAGGGCTGTGTGGATATTCAAGGCCTGAAAGGAAATAACTTTCTTTTCAAGTGTTTTTCTTCTTTTTCTCCCAAAGTATTTAATTCTGAAACAACAAATAGAGTTTCCTTAAAATGGAGAACAGTTTGCTTCCTTTTCCTCTCAGAGACCAACATCACTCAGGAAAAATACAAGTGTAAGGACAAGAGACGTGGCCAGGCTGAGCCTGGATTAAATCACCTCGAGCCTCTGTTCAGCAAAGTGTTTAAACACACATTTAGCAGAGCTGGGGGAGAATTTCCAATGAACAGGGATTCATTCAGGGAATACCCCAGCTTCCAAAAATACAGATAAAAAAATTGAAGCAAATCACTTCAGCTGGCAATAGTTCTATGAAATGCTTAATTTCCAAAGTGCTCAAACATTTGAACATTTTATCTTTTTATATTTTCTATATTAGATCCTTGGTTTATTAATCTAAAGAGAAAAAATGTTTTATTTCAGCTTAAGCCAGAGATAAATACTTTGTTGTTTTAATTTTGTCAAATTTAAAACAAAAACCAACCACTTTGTTTAATTTGATCATACTTGATTTTTAATTTTTTTTTTCCTCTGGAGGGGAGCATTTGGGGGAAAATTCCACTCTGATTTAGCTATTGAGCACTTGAATATAACACAATCTGTCCATGGACCCAAAGTGTGCCACTACCGCAAGGGAAATTTTGAGTAGTCAGATAGAATCAGCCATGGAGGAAAAATAATTTCAAATAACTGCTCATGAAGCATCATCTCCCAACAGAATCTTGGTGAAATGTCTTGTTTCTCCTACAAACTAGGGAATTTTAAGAGCAACTTTACACATGATCTACCAGTCAGACACATTTTCAACACAAGAGTGTTGGGTCTTCCAGCAAAAAGCTTTGATGTTGAGTAGATGGGAGGTGCAGGTTACCTTTGGATTCATGTAATCATTCTGTGCTTCCCAAATGTTTTTATTCCCTGTCCTTCCCGAGGCTGTGAGCGTGTCTTACCTGAGGCTGGAAGGGATGTTCGGAAAACGCATCCATCCCAAAGTCCCTTCCCAGCTCATCCAGCCAGACCCCGAGCAGCTCCCGAGTGCCGTGCTCGGGGCACTGGGACGGCTCCCGGTCCCTGTGTGTCCGTGTCGGGCCGGGCTGGATGGGGACGCCACCCGGCCATCCCTGTCCGGCACCGGGTACCTGCGGGCAGGTGACCGGGCTGTGCCAGCGCCCTTTGCCGCTCTCCTGCCTCCCCTGTCCCGCCGGGACCCCTCCTGGCTGGACTCACCCTGGCCCCGGCGAACGGTCCAGCGCCGCCTCGGTGGCTCTGGGCGGCCGGCGATGTCCCAGGAGAGTCCTGCCCGCACCCGCCGGTTCCCGGTGCCGGTTGCCGGTGCCGGTTCCCGGTTCCCGGTGCCGGGCTCGTGTCCCGGTCCAGCCCCGCCTGGGAGGCGCCGCCGGGCGCTGTCCGTGGTGCTGATCCGCGGCCCCGTCGCCGGGATCCGGTCGGGATCTCCCCGGGATCGCCCCGGCTGCCCCCGGGGCCGGGGGAGAGCGGCCCCTTCCCCCGGGCGCTGCCCGCACCCGGCAGAGGCGGCACCGGCTCCACAGGTGGCCGGGGAGCCCCTCGCAGAGTCCCCGAGCCGCCTCCGCCCCGCGGGGCTCACCTGTCCCTGGGTCACCTGGGCGGCGGAGGGGCCGGGGAAGCTGCCCTGCCTCTGCCTCGGGGCTTTTATGGCCCGCCGGGGGGGCGGCGGGCGGAGCGCCCGGGCGGGGACTCCGCGCCTCGGCCAACGGCAGCGGCCGCTCCGGGCAGCTGCGGCAGCATTACATCATGGGACCGCCCGCCTTCAGTGTAAGAGTCTCACCGGCAGCGGGGACACTCGGCAACAGGTCCGTCCGGGGAGCAGCGAGCCCTGGAAACGGGGCAGCGCCGCGCTCCGAGCTCTCCCTGGCA